TCAATTGAATATATAACAAATATGAGTGGAGAAGAAATACTAAAAGAAAAGAACAAGATGGAGGGAGTAGAAAAAGAGGCTCATGCTAAAACAGATCAAGCGATAGGAACAAGAAAGTGAAGACAAGCAGAATAAGAAAAACTCAGTAGAGACATAAACAAAATTGTAAAACAAATTCAAAACTTAAAAATCAAAATGAAAATAGAGATCCAATCAGCCGATTCACCTTTATCCAAACCAGACCTCCCAAGAGATACAGAAATTAGAAACAGCAGCACAGATGCATCAAGGGGAAAAAAGGTGAAAAAGAACAAAGAAGCTCTGATCGATAGAATACTAGCAAACACTATCAAACAAAAGGAAGTGTATAAACAAGAAAAAGAAAAGCAGAGGGAAGTTCAAGATATAAATCAAAACCTTCTAATTCATGCCGCACCATTAGAACAAAGTATGTGGTCATCTGAAAATAGAAGCTGCAAAGACAACAAGGTCTTTATCATCAATGTACTGTCATACAACCTTCCTAGCAATTCAGGCAAAGAAAGAGCAGGCTATGTTAAAAGAATACTTGGAGAAAACAAACATATCAGAGGAGTAGAAGAAAAATTCAAAAGAGGAAACTCCTGGGTAGAAATCAATTTCAATTATGAATACGGTAGAAATCTAGCAATCAACAGGATTAAGAGAAAAGAAAATGACTGGCTTACATTAATCCCAGAAGAAACAAGAAATACATATTCGAAACAACAGTCTAAAAAAGACAAAAGTAAAGATGAAAGAAGTTTTAATCACAAATAGAAAGAATTTAAAACTAAAGAACAAGATAAAGTGGAAGAAGCAACCTCATATAAAGGCAGAGATTATCAAGAGAATTCTGAACAAACATCAAGAAACTACAATTACAACAAACACATAAACATAGATTGTATTACAATATGGGACCTTCCAGTAGACATAAATGCAAAAAAAATCAGATATATATATAAAAAGTTAGATACAAATGATAACATGTATACCAAATGAAGAAATGGCAGAGCATTAGTGGTAATTGAATTCAGCGAAAAACTGGAAGAATACAAGTTACCATGGGTCTTACCTGTTAGGGATAGAAGGCTAGCACGTGTTTTGATTAGAAAAGAAGACCATGAAGAAAGAGACAAAAGAAATAAATTTATAGCAAAACTCTCAGGGATCACAGAAGGCTTCTTAGAAACTCTTCTTCTAAGAAATCTTAAAGATAGAGATGTGAAAGCAGTATATATTTCAAAAAGAAGAAGTGGTTTTATGAAGCAGATAGCAAAAATAACTTTTGCAAATGAACGAGAAATGAAAGAAGTGCAAAAAAAATCAGTCAGATACAACAATTTAAACCTCCATTGGGTATAGCCAAAGACAGAAGAAGGCTCTTTTTCAGAAGAAGCAACCAAGAAGAAATAGAGACAAGACTCTGACAAGAATCAGGACAAGGAATCGAGTGATAAAGAAATATATCTCACTCAAAGAAAAGACTACAATCATAGTACAACAATAGAAGAAGAAGAAGCTTCAATTAATATTTTATCAGATAATAATCAAGAGAGTAATGATAGCTACAAGAAAAAGAAGAAGGATATCACACATCAAAAGAAAAACAAAAGCCAAAACAGCAAAAAGAAGCAGGAAGAAGAAAATCTAGCATATAGAATTGACCAACACTAGTCAATACTTGAAGAAATCCTGCGAAGATTAGAATATATTAGTGGGCAACCAGGAGTTGCCTACTACTCCTAACTGGGGCCTCGGTTGAACTACAGAAAAATAGCAAAGAATCTATCTTCTTTCTGCATAGAGAAGGTGTTGGAAGTACAAGAGAAATGGTTTTAGAAGAGATAATCCTTTGCCAATCAGAGAATACAGAAGACAGAAAGGAAAAGAATATAGTACACAGATATTCATCAATTTGGAAAGAAAGTAAAACAATATAAACAGTTTAAATAGAAGAATGGGAGTGAAGAGAAACTCAACTCAGAAAGTTGAAAAGAGAGCAAGAAAAAAGAAGAAGACATTATTGAAAGATTTTAATATAAATCATCCTATAACAAAAACATTAAGTAGGAAAGAAGATGAAAACAAAGTCTTCAACATGCTAAAGATTGGTTTCCACAATATAAATGGGATCAAAACAAAGAGAGTTAATTATAGATTACATGAAAGATGAGAAAATCAATATAATAGGTTTTGCAGAGATGAACTTATCAGAAAAAGAAGGCAAATTCACAATAAGAAAAGAAGAAAAATTTGTAGCATTTTGGTCGTCAGTAGATGAAAACAAGAAAAAAGGTTTAGGGATGGGCATAATCCTTGACAAACAATGGAAAAAATATATAACTGAAGTTAACAAAGAAAATCCATATATCATAGACGCAACCTTAGAATTCAAAAGAATAATACTAAATGTGATAGTGTTATATATAGCACCAAATGACCAAGAAATACAAACATCAATCAAAAGATATATATCAAAAAGAACAAACATACAAGGAAAGAAGAAACAGCAAAGGTTTGTAATAATAGGAGACTTCAATACAAACCTAAGCATTTCTGCTGAACAAGATATAAAGAAGACATCCAACAAGAAGAAGAGGATAATAGAGGAATTGAAGACAAGAGGTTTCATAAATGGGTTCAGAAAATCAAACTCAAAAGACGAATCAGCAACCTGAAGCAGCAGAAACACACAATCAAGAATCGATACCATGTGGATAGACAGATACTGGGCAAGAAATATAATTCGAAACAAGATAAAAGATATAACATGCACAACGGAAAGTGATCACAAGATAGTCATTCTTGAAATAGAAACAGCTATAGGTCTAAGGAGAAGAAGCAAAGCAAGATCCAAAAAAATAAGAAGAAAACAGCTAAATCTTGAACTAAAAAAAGCTACCACAGAAGATTAGAAAGAATATAGAGCGAAACTTGAGAAAGAAATTAAGAAACAAGTTAAAGATTTCATTAGAAGAAACAAAGGAGGAGAAAACTCCTGCTACAACATAGATCCCAAGAGAGGTAGCATAATACAATAAGTAGAAGAGTTCAAGAAACTAAACATAGACCAAATGTGGGATATAATCGAACGAGCCATTAGAATAGCAGCATTAAGCACACTCCCACAAAAAAAGAAATTAGCCAAACTCGCACTAGCAGAAAAATTCAATATTATAACGAATAGGCTCAGACAAGACACAAGAAAACTGGGTAAATAGTACAAAAAAATAAAAGAAAAATCTATATAAACCTGTCAGAAAAAGAAAAAAGAGACCTAAATACATTTATTAGAACAATAAAAAAAAAAAGGATCTGAAGGATATAACAGATCCAGCAAATATTGAGAATTTAGAAGTATGGTAGAAAGTATTATACAAAAAATAGCAAACTGAGAAACAAACAGAAGAAGAAAAAAGAATCAGTGACTTCATAAAAAAAAGATATGAAATGATAGTAAAAAATCAAAGGAGAATGATCAATAGTATATTAGACAGGCCTCATAATAACATTAAAATCTGCAAAGTAATTAAAGAAAATGAGGAAGGTGATGAGAATGAATTGCTAAATGAGACAGACGAAGTACTAGCAGAGGTTAAAAATCATTTCATGAAACAGTTTAGAAAAAGAAATACAAAAGCAAATAGATTGTCTACAAAGTGGAAAGAAAGATATAGACCGATAAAGAGAATCCAAGATCAATGGTATAAAGATATTAATAAAGAAGTTTCAAATGCAGAATGGATAGAAGCATTAGCACAAACTAAGAATACATTGGCACCAGGTCCAACAGGCATAACATATCTACTAATCAAACATGTGAATGAACGAACAAATAAGGCTTTTAAACTACTGGCAAGCAGGTGCTTAGAAGAAGAATCAATGCCAAAAAAGTGGAAATTAGAGATGCTATATCCAATACCAAAATAAGAGGACTGGAACTTTAATCTCAACAATGTTAGACCAATTCTACTACTTGAGACATTTAGAAAAATGGTAGTAAGAATCCTAAAAAACAGATTAGGAAGAATTCTAAAAGAAAAAGAAGTCCTCGAAGAAAGAAACCATGCAGGCCTATCAGAAGAAAGCACAGCAGAACCAATACATATTATAAACAATGTTGCAGAAGATGCAAAGGAGAATAAAAAGAAGCTATGGTTGCTATTTCAAGACATAAAAAAAGTATTCAACTCGGTGGGTATAGAGATGCTCAAACTAGCACTAGAAAGAATCAAGCTACCTAGAAACACAAAAAATTTCATAATTAACCTATACAAGAATAGAGAAATAGAAGTAATTACAGGGTAGGAGTAACCCAAAAATTTATAGCTAGGGATGGAATAGATCAAGGGAGGTTATCTCACCTTTGATATAGAAGATCTTTTATGACTCTCTTCTGGTTCAGATACAAGAAACAAAAGAAATGGATTATAAATAGAGGTAGCATGGCCCACGAATATCAAGTTCAATAAGGTCAAAAGACAAAATGTAAAGATCCCAGTACTAGCATATGCAAACAATATGATGTACATAGCAAGAAGCCACGAAGAAATAGAAAAAATTACAGATATAGCAAATGAATTCTTCAAAATTAACATCGTTGAGATCAACACAAAGAAGTCAGAATTGTTAATAATCAATCTCAAAGACAAGCTTGATGCAGATAAAGAGATAAAATTTGGCCCAAGAGAAAAATTAGTTTCAAGAAAAAGCTCAGAAGAATTGACAAGATACCTGGAAATTTGGGTATCAGAAAAGGCCAAACAAAAGCATATTGAAGAGGTCATAAGAAAAAAAGTACAAACGATAACAAAAGGTCTCAAAAAGAAGAAAATATCATTAGTACATATGCAGTACATCAACAACAGAGTATTAATACCAAGGGTAGAATACAGGGCACAAAACACATACTGTCAAGAAAAGTATGCGACAAGTTACAAAGTCCACTTTTCATGTTAATTAAGAATAAAGCATGAATGATACATACAATACCGAATGCAGCAATAGCATATCAGAATATAGTTGGTATTAAAACTATATGGCAAAACCAAATCGCACACCACGTCACAGAATTGACAGCAAGACTCAACAACAGAAATAACGTAGACAAAACAACGTGGATGAAATTAAAACAGGCCCAGCTTAATTTAAAAAGCAGAAAATGTATATTAGGTCTTAGTATACAAATACTAGAGCAGGTTAACTTTAGAAACAATTTGTGCTACAGAATCACAAAAGAAGCAAAAAAGCTCAAAATTGACTTTAGGTTAGCAAAATTAGAAGAAAGTCTGCAGCTATACAAAGAAAGGACCGAAATTATGAATCTACTCGAAAAGAAGCATAGACCAAGCTTTGGACAGGGAAAAACAATAAACATTTTCATACTCGAACAATTACTAGACAGCAAGAGAGAGTCATTGCTTATCTGAAAACAAATAAAAAAGCTAAGAAGTTGCAGTACAAAAGGCAGAAAGGCAACATAGTTCCAAGAAATAGAAAAACTAGTTCTCAGAAATAGAGTGAGCAGAGAAATTAAAAAAAAATTCAAAAGAGGCCCAGAAAACTATAACTTTATTCAGACAGAATTGAAGGGCATTAGCAATAACAGAAGACAAAAAGAGTGGATAGTTTTCGGCAAAAGAAACGAGAAAGCAGAAATAGGCAGAGTTATCCACAAACACAGCCACAAAAGCTTTAGAATTGAACATTAGTATAAGCGAGACCTCCTAGAAGAGAGAAAAATAACTGTAGAACCTTGCAAAGGTTGTATAGATAGCAGACAAGCAGTTAAAAATGAACCATGCCTTTTTGTAAAACAATTCCAAGAAACAAGAAGAGTAGTAGATAAGCACTTAATAAAAAGAAGTAGAGCTAATGAACAAACAAGAGCTGAGACATTGGTACTATGGAAAAACATAGTTGGCAAGACAGAAGTAGTAGCACAAAAAGAATGGGAAGCAAGAATTAGACAGCAAAGAATAACAATTAATATAAGACCCCTAAGTGAAAAAACTATCCACCAGTATATAAAAAGAACAGTAGTGATCGAAGAGCTCAAAAAGCTAGCAAGAAAGGTCACAAGAATCAGAAATTTTGTAGTATACACAGATGGTTCACTAACAGAACTAAGAGAATACCCAGAGAAAACATGTATAGAGATAGGGTGGACATTGTTAACAAGAGCAGAAAAAGGAAGCAACAAGACAGAAGCACAGTTCAAATATGCTATGACAGGGTGGCCATCATCAACAAGAGCTGAACTTGGCGCAATTCTAATGGGCCTTTGGTGGTTCCAGAAGACACGAACTTGCAGGTAAACACGGATAGCCAAGTAGCAATTCAAGCGATCAAAAGGTCAGAAGAAATAAACAAAGTAAGAAGTTACATCAAGATGAAGAATAGAAGCCTAATATGGCAAATAGAGAAAATAAGAAGAACCAAGAAGATCAGACTAAAGATGTACAAAATAAAAGGCCATAGTAAAGTCGAAGAAAACGAAGAAGCTGATAAACTAGCAAGAGAAGATACTATACTAAACAAGTTTATAGAAGTTCAAGCACCCTGAAATGAACATTTACAAGTGATACCATGCTGAAATGAAGTTATAATTGATAGCCCAATACAAAGATTCGTGAATCAAGTCACAACATCAATATTAGATGCAGAATGGGCAAGTCTGAAAAGAATAGAACCTTGGTTGAAAAAGGAGAGAGAGGAAAGGATAGATTGGAAGAAAACTTGGAGATATATAGAGGGAGTAAAAGATAACAACTGCTTAGATAGTAGAAATAATAGTAGATAGATTTTTAGAGTTAAATGCCTTAACAAGTTACTGCCAACTATGTCAGAATTAAAAATGAGAAGACCGGATCTATATGAGATGGACAGATGTATAATATACCACACAGAACCTGAAACAATAAATCATCTAGCAAGCTGTAAAGAATTTCAAAAAACATGAAATATTATAGAAAAAGAGGTTACAGAAGATGCAATCAAAATAATCAAGAAAGAAGACAACACAGACCTAAATTTAGAAGAAAACGAAGTTAAGAGAAGCATCTTTAGCACAGAAGGCCCAGAAAGAATAAAGACGAGAAACTATATGATAAGAGGCCTGATACAAGAGAAAAAAAAAATAAGCATCGAGAACCTCATGCATAGAAAAGACACAGCAAGGAAGGTGATAGGCAAGATACTAAATAAATTCAGAGAAAGATTCTGCCAACACATTTGGAACCTCAGATATGAAATACAAAATGAATAGAAAAAGATAGAAAGAATCACAAAGAAGAACAAAAGAACTATAAAGAAAAAAGAAATCCAAAGAACACATACAGACAAGAAAAATATCCTGGACCCAAAAGGGAGAAAAAAAGAAAAACACAAAAAAGTAGTATTCAGAAATATCAAAAATTTGGTTTGATACGGATTCAAGCTGGTTTAGTCATCTTTAACAATGTGCAAAGTAAGTTCGAATTCTTTAAAATAAGGCAGTATTGACAAGGCGTGTAGCCACCAGTTGACGATAAGGTGAAAAAAGTCTCTAGCAAGTTAGGGACCCAAAAAGAGGCCAATAGCTACTGAGGCAGGTCGCATCGGGCTTAAGCTTGATAAGCCTTTTGTTTGGTTAGATTAGGATAGCTATAGATAGAAAATCATATAATTTCTTGAATAGTTTAATCTCAAATAAACAAAGGCAGATTTCCAAATTATAAAAAAAAAAAAAAAAAAATTTAATACAATATATTTAATTTTAATAAATTAAAATTTTGCTTTCGGAGGTGAGTTTTGTTAGAAACAGATCAAGATATATCATTTATTTTTGAACTTTTCTTGTTGCTTTTGAGTTTCATCTTGATGAATTATCAAAATATCTTGAAACACAGAAGAATACATAAATATTTAAAAATGATCAAATACTTATAGAAAAATTATGCAAAAAAATATAAATTGTGCAGTTATATTAAAATTATTTTAAAATTTGCAAAAATTAGCATTAATGTATAAATATATTTTATTTTATATTTTATTGTTAAATAAAATAATTTATAGTTAAAAATAAGGGAAATTCTATTTTCACTCAGGTTAAAGTCACTCGATATATAATTTCCATTATATAATATAATACAAACTACTATAACTAACTAAAAATTCTATAGATTGATTAGTTAGAGGTTAGGATAGATGAATTTTATGATATTGTATGAATTTATATTATAAAGTACAATAAAAATTATATATTGAATGACTTTAACCTGGGTGAAAATAGAATTTCTGTAAAAATAATATTTATATTTTTTGTATAATTTATAAATTTTAATATTTATTTCATTTTGTTAATATTTATAAATTTTTTTGCAATATTTTAAATATATGTGAATTATTAAATATATATTTATATATATATATTTTTTTTTTTTTACAAATTTTAGTAAGACTGTTTAGTTATTTTAAATATTTAATTTGTTATATTAATTTTATTATTTTGACTATCTGCAATAAATTTAATATATTTGAATTATTGCAAAGTATGAAAGAATTGCTTGGTTTTCTTAAAATATTCAATTCGTTATGTTAACTTTATTAAATTGAATATATTGCAATATTCAATTCATTATTTTAGCTTTATTAAATTAAATATCTTTGAAATAATTTTCTAATATGTGAATTGATTATAAAGTCAAACAATTTAAATAAATATAACAATTTGAATACTTCAAGTTCTAGATTAGCAATGCTTTCAAGTAATATAAAAAAGTTGAAAAACTCTTACTTTTTGTATTGAATTTACCTTTAATAATTTAAAAATTTAAAAACATTTGCAATATTTAAAATTTTTTTATTCTATTTCATTAAATATATCTAGTTTTAAGTGTTCTTTCTGTAATCACACTTTTTTTTCTCACAATAGATTGAGTAAATATATGTCTAAGTATATTCATTCTGCTGATGATGAAGAGCAAGTTATAATAAAAAATACTAAAATTAATCTTAGAGATTCAATACAAATTGAATATACTCAAGATGATCTTCCAAATATTGCCAAAAACAAGTTAGATAGTAGATTTTCTTCTAAAAAAATTTTGTTTAAAGATATCAATTTTCGAAGTACTTCAAATAAATTTAATGAAATTGATATTAGTAAAGATGATGAATTTGATGCTAATCCACCGAATTTATCTAATGAAGATGATATTACTGAATCATTAGCTGATATATCTTTTGAATTAAAAGATAATACAAATGCTGCAATTAATTCAAATACTGATATTCTAAATGAATTTGAAAACATCTTAAAAGAATATATAGATTTGTCTGAAGATATTTGTGATAATTCTAAACTTGCTAATAATATTCGAATTAATTCATCAGATGATGAATCTAGTCAGAAATATGACAAATTTCCTAATGATGCCTATGCTGATTTAATGGTTTTAGTTACAAAATATAAGCTAAGTAATGCAGCTAAAGATGCAATAATTTATTTTTTAATAAATATTCAAATTATTCTATATCTCTTTTACCAAAAAATATTAAACAAAGAAAGCTGTTCATGAATAATATGAAATCTAATTTGTCATATAAGAAATCTAAAATATTAGATCATAATAACACTGAGTATTTTATCATATGCTATTAATCAGTTGTATTAAGAATATTTCAGAAATACCTGATATATTACAAAATTTTGCACTTGAATTCGAAGAATTATATAAAACTATTGAGATAAAATTTTAATTTTAATTATTGAAATATATATTTATTTTTTATTAATTATTATTTTTAAAAGAATAGTAAAGAGAATATATGGGCTAGGTGCTAAGAAAAGGAACCAAATTGACAAAACAAAAGATCTTTGGAAAATCAATTTTTGTATTCTAAATCTTATAATAAATTATAAGAAAAATAAAACTTTAAAGGACTGTACTGCAAAATTTTATTAATGTAGCTACTTTTGTGTTTTAGATAAAAAATGATCCTGATATTATTCTAAATTGATTTATGTAAAAAAATTACTTTTGAAAA